CATGTGTCTCATATGGCCATTAGAAGCAGCTTTCCAGTCAGCTGTGTGTCTCCAGGTGCACTAATTGGTTGCCAGGAGAAAGGAGGCTTGAAGCTGAGAAACAAATGCTCTAACGCACTCACATAGTTACTGTGTACATGCAGTTATCATAGGCAGAGACACACACGCACACACATTGTCAGACTTGTTAGTGATTGCATCCAAAACAGCTGTGAGATCAAAGACATTAACTGACCTACTGTTTGACTGAGATGCTGCCTGCAGTGAATTTAGGGCCTCTGAACTTCTTCACATAGCACAATTTCCTTATATTCCAGAATGAAAATAAGAACATCGTACGAATCCTCCGCCCTTCATGAACACAATGATGTGTTTTTCATGTCTGTACTCCAAAAAATGTGGCCACAACAGCGAGTTAAAAAAGTCTGAGCCTGAGTGACGATAAGGATTTTCTTGGAGAACAATTACATTAGGGCTAATGGGAAAGATTTCCCGTCTATTTGGACAGTTGGTCAACTGCTGGCCAAGGGGTGGGATTTAATGATTTGAAACCTCTTTTGTGAGAAGCAGGACACATATACCTCAATTTTGATGTATTTTTTATGGCTGTGGAGTTAAATTTGTGGGTGTGGGAGCGATATATTCGAGCGAGATTTGGTCGAACAAAGAGGAGCTGTCCACTCTAGCGATGACATCATCACTCTAGCCTCTCCAATACACACCCATTATAAAGCCTGAAAATTTGCTGAAAACCATGAGGTGAATAAAGCTAAATTGTGGAAAAACTGTAGGAGATAGCACAAAAGAGTCAATACAGCATATTTAGAGGAGAAGATTGTGAACATTTTAAAGCAAAAATGTCTGTAGGTGAAAGAATGCTGAAGTTATAAGGCTGAGAATGTGGAGGAGTAAAAGGCAGAATTTGAAGATTTCCCCATTCATTTCAATGGGAAAAATTTTGCACAAAAAGTATAAGGGGTAGAAAAGTGAAAAATACATCCGCACTATTCCTGAAGGAGAGGAATAGTTTAAAAGTTGAACGGTTGAAATTGGACAAAGTATGGAGGAGTTGAAAAGTTGCAAAAAAGCTACGGAAGAATAATAATAACTAGAAAAATTGCATTTCCTTGCAGAAAATGCGTGGAAATGCTGAGTGCTGAAAGCTGAAAAAGCAATGCAAAACTGCTAATAACACATGGAGAAAGCTATAAATGTTAAAGCTGTTGAAGGGGTAAAAAATAAATATAAGTTGGATAATGGTTTAATTGGTTGAAGGACAAATAGTATGAATATGCTCCTCAAACTGAAATTTGATTCATGCTGAAAAAGGCTGGAAAAATTTCTACAAAAGCACAAAGTTTGAATGAAGAAGTAAATTACCTTAAAAGGCAGGTAAGTGAGAATTGGCATAAGTTTAAGTTGGAGTACTAGAAGTAGTATGATAATAGGTAGTTGTAGTAGTGATATTAGTAGTCATGTAAGCAGTACAAGTAGTTTTAGAATAGAGGAAGTAGAAGTCAAAGTAGTAAAGCTCGTGGTAGAAGTAAAAGATGCAGTAAAAGTTAGAGACGCAGTAAAAATATATTTAAAGAAGCAAGAGTAGTGGAGGTAGAAGTGAAGATACAAGTTAAAGTCTCCACAAAGCCTGTGTAGCTCTGCATTGTGTTTTTCTTGGTGTTTGGGTTGCAGGGTGTCACACAGAGATTTGGAGGATGACACACAGAGTGCGTAATTGTGATGGAGACCGGAGTGTACTTTTCTCCAACAGCTGCTGGTACACAAGTGTCATGGCAGTGAGAGAGAGAATTGTTTGTATTAATATAAAGTGTGATAAAATAAAGATGAAGAAAAGAGTTTTGTGAAATAGCCAGCAACGCCTATGACTTTAAGAGTCACAAGCCCACGGTTAAGGAGCCAGATGCAAAGAAGCAAGTTTCTGTCTTTGTTGAGGACAAGAAAAGACAGCCTGCAGCGCTTACAACGGGCCTTGAACACGCGATCGCTGCGGGTCAGCAGCTTTAGCGCTCAGCCACATAGAAGATGCTTATTATCACCCCACCGGCTGTAACTTTAAACTCACTAAAGTCACCTGGGCTGAAAACCTTGATGCCGGCATGTATGCCGGGGACCACAACACCTCCACAACACACACAGATGATGTGTCCTTTTCGACACGTGAACAACAGCCAGGGACCACACAATCGGAGAGTCAGGGTCAGACAACAGTTCAGGAAACCACAAGACTCACAGACAGCCAGCTCGCTGTCAGGGACGGAAGGTGAGCTAGATTGCCATGGATCAGACCAACAGTCAGGGTCAGAGCACAAACGACTCGAGCGTTACGATCAATCCAAGGGCAAGGCGAGCAGGCAGGAACGGGAACAGACCAGGTCGGCAACGGGAGATCAGTCAGGAAAAGAGTGCCAGAAGGGCTTGCATAATGCGAACACAATCAGACAACTGGTGTGTGTGTGGACAGAGGCGGGGCTTGCCAACAGGCAGACCAGGCAATTGCCTGGGGCCCAGGCTTGCAGGGGATCCCCCACTTGGGCATCCTCCCGAGTGGCCGGGTGCCCCAAGTGCTAATAAATGTACTGCACGGCAACGACAACAACGGGCATTTACTATGAGAAAGCGATGTAGCAAACCCCCTAGGGGGCCCCCACGCCCCTTCTGCCTTCAGTATACATATCAAATGTCCCAGAAATTGTGTGCAAAAAACGATTTTTTTCAGTGTGCAGGGATGGGGTGGAGGCCCCACAAATTTCTTGCTTGGAGCCCCAAAGGACCCTTGCCCCGCCTCTGTGTGTGGAGCTGGAGCTTAAATACTTGGGCTGATTGTCAGGGATGAGCTGCAGGTGTGGTGGAGAGCACAGGTGAGTTGAGTTTGGCTGATGAGGTGGGAGTGGCAGTGAAAAAACACTAATTGGGGCATTATTATCACACGCCCTTAATCGACGAGCACTTATAGGTGATCATGACAGCATGGGCCACAAAAGAAGAAAAAAAAGAATTCCTAAAAGGAAACTTGCTTGGTCCACAGGACAAAGGGCAGGTGCTTTAGCACCACCTAGTGTCTAGCTGTGCACACCACTGGACTGTTGGATTTTAACAGCAAGGTCACAGAAAAGTTTAAGCACATGAAGGACCACAGAGCGTCATTCCTCTTCAAAAAGTGAGTCACATCAGTGACTCTATTGATCTACGTGGAATTTATAATATGGTTTGTATATTGTTTGAATAAAAGTGGAATTAATGTAATGTGTAACTGGCGATACGTGTGTGTGTGTGTGTGTGTGTGTGTGTATGTGGTGGACACAACGTCACGTGGGCTCTCCAAGGGAGCTGTTCACCTATCTTTGGTGCTGAAATGGCTTTTTGGCTGTGGTATATTGTGTGTGGTGGCTTTGATTCCTGTGCGTTGTTTGTGCGCCGTTGACGCCTTTGTGTTTTTATTATTGTCACGTTGTGTCGATCTTAACTATTTGATATTGTGAGCTCTTGAACACTACCATTTGGTGGCGCTATTGGTATGATAATATATGTCGCCAGATTGACATTGTGTGAAGACATCATTCAGCTGTAGTTTTGTCGTCAAATGTGCTGTGGTCCTCTCTCTCACTTGCTGCTGTATTTTTGTTGTGAGGGTATGAGAGAAATATCTGTTATTTCCGGATTGCATAATGAGATTTTCCTGCATGGCCCCACCAAAAATACACAAAACACGTGTAATTCCCGACACACCCGCCACTAACAATCTTTTTTGTATTTATTTACTTGGTAAGATTAAGTAAGCATCGAGGTCTTCACTCCACATCAGCGCCGATTTGTTGTTTGCCAACCACCAAAATAAACAGTGAAGAAGGAGAAGGAGACCTTTGCGCATGCAGTCCGTGCAGGTCATTTCATCGTCTGCGCAGGTAAGAGGACCACGTGTGCATGAGTTAAATGCTACATGTCTGATCATACCAGGGCTCTCAGGTTTTGAACTAAGCTTGGAGTCAGATTTTCTTGTATTTTTATTGAAGGGGATTTATCCTTTGGATCATAAGAACAACATTGTCATGAGTATCATGCATCTTTTCTGCAGAAAAAAAAGATGGACTTTGAGGGAAATAGCTGGAAATGGCTGTACAGAGGCTAGATCCATTAATTCAGCTGTCAATAGCAATCGCATAGGGCTTTAGTTTATCATATGAGTCTATTTGCCATGAGGTGTTGAGGCCTCTGCAGGTGTAGGTCACTGACTTACTGTAATGATTGGATATTTTTTGTGCTTACAAAACCTGCTTATTCACAGCGGGTTTCTGTCTTTAAAATCTACCTGGATACAGCAATGCTACCTTTTGATTGGCTGTTCGGTAGCTATACTGTATTTGGTTGGCTTGCGGGTGCCATGCAGCCTCTTTTGTCTCAGGGGAACCGACTTGATTTCTACCTGTTCCATTGTTGAAAGGTTGCAGCTTGCAGGACGCCACCGTGGTAATATTAATGCGTGAGAAATACAATGTGTGGCGTGTGAACAGGTGCGTGTGCCACACACCGAATGCGTGAGACTTGAGAGCCCTGTCATACATTATCAAATGTTTGTACATATTTCCCCTTGTTCCTCGCGACAAGGTAAGGTAGAGTTAGTTTGCTCTAAATTCTGTGAAAAATGATATGAATAGGTAGTTTTTCCGACATCGCTAACAAACTAATTATAGCCTCCAAGCAGCATCGTGAAGCTGAACATACCACCCGTTATAAAACGAAATGCCGTATTGTTTTTTAAGCTATTTATAATGTAACACCATGCAGAAATGAAAAAAATGTTCTCCAATACAAACATGTCAGCAGCAAACCAATGTATTATATAACATTTATTTTTAAATCAAAACAAATTCAACAACAACTATGTGTGTGTGTGTGTGTGTATGTGCGCGTGTGTGAGACACAGAAATGCATGAAAAACCTTTTTAAACTTCGAAACACATTGAACACTGAACTATGAACACTATTTACAAAACTGACATTGTTGTAATATTTTTTCCCTTCACAGTGGCTTTAACTTTGAGGGCGCCCTCCTGTATGGCCTCATCAGATGATGGCTCCCACAAGGCCTTTGAAATTTGGAGAGTCTCCCCACTCTCCAAAAGCACCTCGTAAGATCCCTCATGGGGGCCGCTGCTGGATGTGGCCCCTCCCTCCTTGAGGACACCAACAATGTGGAGGTGCTGGCTCATCTGCTGCTTCTGTAGACAAATTAAGCAAACACAGGTAAGGAATTAGATCATTTGGAATAAGTTGTATTTTCTGTAACAATGGCCCAGTATTTCTTAACATTGTGAGTATTGTTGTCCTGAAGCCCTGCCCATCCTGGCACTTGAGGAAGTGGGTCAGATGTGAGACCGGGTACAAAAGTGTCAATACAAAACTTCCACCCACAGAAATTGTCCCCGCCATTAATTCAGTGCCCCTCAATGAGATGGCTATACACAGGCAGACAGAATCGTTGGTACCTATCTGTTAAAGAAAACTAAAGCAACAAAGCTCACAGAAATGACTTGAAATGAACAGAAGTAAGAATGAAATATAATAAACAGAAAATTAAGTAATGAAATTGTGACATTGGATTTGAATTTTGGTTTAACAGAAGTACTTTTTAAAATGTAAATGTATGAAACTGACACATTTAAACACACTTAAAAATCAAGAAAACTTTTTTAACAAAACTGGCATGGACAAAATGGATGGTAACTTTAACTGTATACTATGTTGCACAACCTTTTGAGGCAATTACTGCAATCAAGTGATTGCTGTTACTCTCAGAGAGACCTGTGCACCTGTCCATAGGTGTTAAGGTCCACTCCTATTGAGCAAACTGTTCCAGTGGTGTCACGTTTGAAGGGTGTCATCTCCAGACTGCATGTTTCGGCTCCTTCCACAGACGTTCAATAGTATTTAGATCAGAACTTGGGAAACCACCTCAGAATAGTCCAGTATTTTGTCTTTTGTCATCCGTGGTCCTCAAAAAGGACAATGATCAAAATCACAGCTAAAAACTCTCAAGAAGGACGCAAAAAAAAAAATATATATATATATATATATAAAGAGGGAGTTAGGATCTACGGAAGTCTATGACCATCTCCTTTGTCTTTGAGGTGTTGAGGAGACTGGTAGAGACTGGTAGATGTCAGTCATTTTGTTTGTCATTTGATCTAGAATTTTCTTTTTCTTTTTTTGTCCGTAACACGTTGTGCTTCTTTTCTTTTTTTATATATATCTTTTACACTCCTCCAGTTCAGACAGGTTCTGTCAAAGTGATCTCTTGATTCATCAGGTCAAGCGCTAATCAGGTCTGGGTATTATTATTGGAATTTAACTCATTTTGTTTAAGGAAAAATTTGTGATTCAACTAGAGGGGACAATTACTTTTTTACATAGGGGCAGGTAGGTATAGATTACTTTATTTTCCCCTTAAATAAAATCATTTATAAACTGCATGTTATATTTACTGTAGCTATATTTGACTTAAATATGCAAAAAGTAAAAGAAAGCAGAAAGGGGCAAATACTTTTTCGTGCAACTGTATGTAGGTTAGTCTGTCTTTAACATAAGGGTTCCAACAATTTTGTCTGTGTGTGGTCATCTTTAAATCATTTTTTGATTAATTAAATAGTTATTAAACCTAGTTAATTTATTGTGATTCTGTAAAGATAGGAGAAAAAAATTGAGTCAGTGCATTTACTTGAAAACAATGAAAACAACAAATTACCTCAATTTTTGTGTAGTGGGTGGAGTTCACCTGGAGCCCATATTCATTTTTTTGGAGCTTCATGTGAGTGAGCCGAACAGTCTCACCCACAATCAGGGGCTCCACGGCTGACTCCCTCCACAAGGAGACCTTGAGGTTGGACTGGTCCTGTAAAAGGTAAGGGAACACCTTTATTGTATGACTGTGATTGTATGATTGATTGTATGATTCTATGATTGTATTTATTGTACGACTCTAAAAAACACCACAGTCTCATTTAAATCAGAGGGGCTGAGCAGATATATGTTGCAAAAGTAAGCAAAAATGAATGAGAAAGATAAGAGGAACTTTATTGATCCCCAAGTGAAAATTTGATATCATGCTGATTTAGTCACATCAATGTATGTATGAATTTACCTTAAATCAGCATCATTCAACGATCGATTGAGTGTGAACTAATCACATGAATTCAAAGTGACAGGCTCATTTGTGTAAAGTGAGAAACCAGCATCAATGACACACCTGCATTAATTCAAGTGTTGTGTCATCATGATTCATACATTATGTAAATGCTATTAAGCATGCAGTATCTCACAAAAGTGAGTACGCCCCTCACATTTCTGCATATATTTAATTATATCTTTTCATGGGATAACACTAAAAAGATGACACTTTGATTCCATGTACAGCAGTCAGTGTACAGCTTGTGTAACAGTGTAAATTTACTGTCCCCTCAAAACAACTTAACACAGAGCCATTAATGTGTACAACCCTGGCAACAAAAGTGAGTACACCACTAAGTGAAAGTGTCCAAATCAGGCCCAATTAGCTATTTTACCTCCCCAACATCATGGGGTAAGGCGGTGTTTGTGGCCACTCAAAATATTGACACTTTGGACCTGATTTGGACATTTTCACTTAGTGGTGTGCTCACTTTTGTTGCCATGGTTGTACACATTAATGGCTCTGTGTTCAGTTATTTTGAAGGGACAGTAAATGTACGCTGTTACACAAGCTGTACACTGACTATTGAACATGGTATCAAAGTGTCATATCGTTTAGTGTTATCCCATGAAAAGATATCATGAAATATTGGCAGAAAAATTAGGGGTGTACTGACTTTTGTGAGATACTGTATACATACACAGACATTTATATTTATTATTACTTTTGTCATTTTCAGGTTATTTCAGTGACTCATATGTACAAACAATTTTCACAGCTGCAGTTACCTGCTGCAGGAGAAGCTTCCTAAGAGGCATAGCCTCTTTCCTCAACACCATTTTAATGACAGCAGACATCTAAACAAGAGGAAATTCTGTATTTAGTTATTTATATATTTGAGAATGCAATTTTTTTTATTGTTTTTAATTTCCCGGATCCATGGCTGCTCCGTAGAGGCTTATACTAACCTCGACAATCACTCCCTCCATGGACATCAGGCCCTGCTGCTACCAGCACTAGTGGAGTGCTATCAGTGGCAAGGCTGGGTGCAGCAGGGCCTCAGCTCTTGCCACAAGTTCTGCGGGGCAGTGAATTTGCCCGCCCCGGAAGAACTGTGTCCCACTCCCAACATTAATTGTTAAAGGTGGGGTTGTCCCCATCAGGATATGGCCCCGCATGTAGTAGGCCTCCCCCTCTGCCACTCTTCCTGCCATGGCCTCAAACAGCACGACCTTTGCCAGAGACTCTCCATCGCTAACAATGGCCGTTCTGTTATTTTTTGTGCATGTTGGGCTTGCCGAAGACCCATCAAAAGCCCAAGCCACAACTCTTGGGGTGTCAACCACTCTTAAAAAAGTGATGTGGAGGGGTGGGAGCCTTTCATATGGGGAGGCTGCCCGCGAATCCAGGAGTTTCCTGAGTGCCATTCTGGAACAAGGAAGAAAAGCATGTTCAGTATTGTTCATTTATTTTTTTTTTCATTGCCGTCATTTGTCATTTTATTTTTCCATCTGTCCCCCTTCCCCCTCTCTCTCTCCCTCTCTCCCCCTTCCCTCTCTTCATCTCTCCCCCTCCTCGACCTTCCCTCTTTCTCCCCCACTCCCTCCCTCTCTCCCATGTCTTCTCACTATCCCTCCCTCTCTCCCACTTCCTCCCTCCTTCTCTCCCTTGTCCATTCACCGTCCCTCTCTCTCTCCCACTTCCTACCTCCCTCTCTCCCTTGTCATCTCACCATCCCTCTCTCTATCCAACTCCCTCCCTCCCTTGTCATCTCACCATCCCTTTCTCCCTCCCTCCCTCCCTCCCTCGTCCTCTCACCATCCCTCCCTTTCTTCCTCAATTTATTATATCACATTTATTTTTAAAACAAAACAAATTTAACAACTCTGTGTGTGTTTGTGCACATACACACATAGTGTGTGAGCGCAAACGTGTGTGTGTCTGCGCACACACACACACAATGTCAAAACACCTGGAACATTGAACTATGACCACTATTTACAAAACTGGATGTTATATTTTTACGTTTCCATCTGCCCCCCTTTCCTCTCTCTTTCCCTCCCTTCCTTATCTCTCCCTCTCTCCCTCTCTCCCACTTCCCTCTCTCCCTTGTCCTCTAACAATCCCTCTCACTATCCAACTCCCTCCCTCCCTTGTCATCTAACCATCCCTCCCTCCCTCTCTCCCTTGTCCTCCACTATCCCTCTCTCTCTCCAACTCCCATCCTCCCTCCCTCTCTTACTTGTCCCCTCACCATCCCTTTCTCTCTCCCACTTACTCCCTCCCTCGTCCTCTTACCTTCCCTCTCCCCCCTTTATTATGTATTTCTTTATTTATTCAACAGAATAAATAAGTACTGTATAATAATAATAATAATAATAATAATAATAATAATAATAATACATTTCATTTAAAAGCGCCTTTCTGAGCACCCAAGGACACTTTACAGGGCATAGAAACACAGCTAGAAACATAATTAAAATAAATAAAAACAACATACAAGTGTGAAAGTAGACAGTTAAAGTGAGTATGCGATTCGGAATAGGTGTGTTTTGAGATTGGATTTAAAGTGGGGTAATGAGTCCATGTTCCTGAGGTCCGGGGGGAGAGAGTTCCAGAGTTTGGGAGCAGAGCGACTGAAAGCCCTGCTCCCCATGGTGCTGAGCCTGGCAGAGGGGACAGAGAGGTGGAGGGAGGAGGAGGATCTGAGGGAGCGTGAGGGGGTGGATATGTGGAGGAAATCGGAGAGGTGGGGGGGGGGGGGGCAAGGTTATGGATGGCCTTGAAAGTGTACAGGAGGATTTTGTAGTTGATTCTGAACTTGACGGGGAGCCAGTGAAGCTGCTGAAGGACAGGGGTGATGTGGTGAAAAGAGGGGGTTCTGGTGATGATGCGGGCTGCAGAGTTTTGGACAAGTTGAAGTTTATGGAGGGATTTGTGAGGGGTACCGAAGAGTAGTGAGTTGCAGTAGTCTATGCGTGAGGTAACAAGGCTGTGGACCAGAATAGCTGTGGTGTGAGGAGTGAGTGACGGACAGAGACGGTTGATGTTTGGTAGGTGGAATTATGCAGACCGGGTGATGCTACTGATGTGGGAGTGGAATGATAGAGAGCTGTCGAGGATGACACCCAGACTCTTAACCTGAGGGGAAGGGGATACTGCGGAATTGTCTATGGAGAGGGAGAAACTGTCAGTTTTGGAAAGAGTGGACTTGGTACCGACCAGGAGGAGTTCTGTTTTATTGGAGTTGAGTTTGAGGGAGTTTGAGGTGAACCAGGATTCAATTTCTGAGAGGCAGTGGGTGAGGGAGGAGGGTGGAAGGGAGGCGTCGGGTTTGCTGGAGAGGTAGAGCTGGGTGTCATCTGCGAAGCAATGAAAATGTATGCCAAATTTACGGAGGATGCTGCCAAGGGGAAGGAGATAGATAATGAAGAGGAGGGGGCCTAGGACAGAACCCTGGGGGACACCAGAAGTGACGGGGGAGGGCTGTGAGGTGAATGATTTGAGTTTGATGAACTGAGTGCGGCCAGTGAGGTATGAGTGAAACCAGTGGAGGGGGTTGTGAGTAATGCCTATGGAGGAGAGTCTATGGAGGAGGATGGGATGAGAGATGGTGTCGCAGGCCGCACTCAGATCGAGGAGATGATGAGGGCTGTTTCAGTGCTATGGAGGGGACGGAAGCTGGACTGGAACTGTTCATAGAGACTGTTGTGAGTGAGATGGGTGTGGAGTTGGGAGGCAACAGTTTTTTCTAGAATTTTGGAAATGAAGGGGAGGTGGGAAATGGGGCGGAGGTTATTGAAGTCGTTGGGGTCTGAACCAGGTTTTTTCAGGGTGGGACTGATGGTTGCAGTTTTGAAGGGGGTGGGAACAGTTCCAGTAGACAGGAAGAGTGAATGATGGCTGAGATGAGGGGTAGCAGAGAGGGCAGACAGGATTTGACCAAAGGAGTGGGGAGGGGGTCCAGCAGGCAGGATGAAGGTTTAGATTTGTATATGAGGTCAGCAATTTCTGAGGGGTTAGGGAGTATAAAGGTGGAAAAAGGTTGGAAGGGAGGGAGAGGTTCAGATGAGGGAAGAGGTGAGGATGTGGAGCCCAAGTTCTGATGGATCTTGCTGATTTTGTTATTGAAAAAACTGAGGAGAGACTTGCAGGTGTCTGAGGAGTGCATGTGGGGAGGAAAGCAGTCCGGGGGTTGAATGATGTGGTTGTAGATAGAGAAGAGAGACTTGGGGTTACCAGCATTGGAGCAGATGAGTCCAGAGTAGTATTGAGATTTGGCATGAGAGATTGAGTCCTGATAGAGAGACAACTGAGTTGTTAGGATGTCTTTGTGGATAGATAGACCGTTTTTTCTGAAGAGTCTTTCTAGCTGTCGATTTTTGGATTTTAAGGAGCGGAGATGCGGGGTAAACCAAGGTGCGGATCTAGTGAAGGAGACAGAGCGGGATTTGACAGGAGCAATTGAGTTCAATATATTGGACAGTCCATCGTTATATTGTGTGACAAGATCATCAGGGGTGGAGGTGGGGTTCAGGGTGAGGGTGGTGATGTAGGAGGAAAGGGAGTCCAAGTTAATGTCCTTTATGTTGCGGTATGAGATGGTGCGGGGGGCTTTGGAGATGGAGAGCTGAAGATTGACGTTAAGTGAGAGGAGGGAGTGGTCCGTAACGTGTAATGTGTCGGCGGTACAGTTGGAGGGGTGAGACCTGAGCAGCAAATTAAATCTATTGTGTGGCCTTTGATATGTTATGGGAAATCTGCAAACTGCTGGAAACCAAAGCTGTCGAGTAATGAAGAGAAGTCCGTGGTAAGGGGTAGGGTGGGATTGTCCATGTGGATATTGAAATCTCCAAGCAGAATTATATTGGGTGAGAGAGTGGCGAGGTGAGTAAGAAGGACAGAGAATTCATTTAAGAAGTTACTGTGGGGTTTGGGAGGACGGTATATAGTGGCAATGATTGTGGGGACAGGTCCGGGTAGCTGACACGCTAGACATTCCAGTGAGGAGAGAGGAGGCAGAGAGACAGGCAGAACCTTCCACTTCTCGCGATACAGTATCGCGAGACCTCCCCCATGTCCCGACTCACGCGGTTTCGAGATGTAAACAAACCCCGCCGGAGAGGAGTCGTTCAGCTGTGAAAAGTCACCGGGGACTTGCCACGTTTAAGCATAAAAAGTCAAACTTGCGGTCGACAAGGATATCTTGGACGAGATGTCCTTTACCAGAGAGGGACCTGATATTTAGCAGACTGAAGCTGACGCCCGTGGCGTTGTTGTTGTGGGGAGTGCTAACCGACCTAGCCAGGCTGGCTAACACCCTGTGGTCCACAGCCCGGCCGGTGTTTTTGTGTGGGCGACGAGTGGAGGACCAGAAAGAGGTATTCCCAGAGCCGCCAGAGTAGACAGTCCGCCGGGACCCACGGTGGATATACCTCGGACGTGGCTGGAGGGCGATGTCCGGGTGGAGGTGTAGAGCCGCCAGTGGAGGTCCAGGCTTCTGGGAGCGGAGTCTGAGAAACTCCGCCGCTGAATATTGGAGGAGTCCTTCAACGGGTAGACAGAGGAGCGACAGGGCAGTCCACGCCAGGGTGACCAGGGTAGCCGGTAGATAGACCCGACTGATCCACATGGTGAAGCGAGGTGGAGATGATGAGATGGGGAGCCGGGTGGTGTGTCGAGTAGGTAGGCTACCCGACCAGGCACACCGGGCAATGGGAGCTCAAATTCACCGAAAAGTTGGTAAAAGTTGGTAAATTACAGGGTAAGAGTCAAGGGGAGACCAGCTTTAACTGGGAGCTGGTCTCCAGAGCACGGAAAACTGTTAAAAAGTTAAAATGTTACCGGTGAGCAGCGG